TAGTATCCCATATTACTTTCGTCAACAAAAGAACAACAACGAAATTCAGATGAACAATTTACTAATCGTACGTCATCCCAAAGTCAAGTATCAGATATGTCATTAGCATCAACCACAGCTCAAAGTGATGGCGATCTTACATCAACTAGTCAGCATCGACAAAAAGATGCTATACTGTAAAATAAATAATTGTTTCAAAAGGAAATAAATTTAGTTTTGCCCTTTTTTTTTAAAGTGATATTGCTAATCAAATTGGTATTGAACAGAATATACTAGATTTTGGACAAGTGTGTATTAATGATGATTTAACAACAAATTCAAAAACTCTTAAATTAACAATAAAAAATTATAGTCGAACAGATCCATGTGATGTGAGTGTAATAATATCTATTTAAATATCATTTTTATTCTGTTGATAGGTTGACATAAGTGAACCACATTTACCATTTTGTATTAGTGTACGTCGTGCTACAATCAGGTAATGTCTTACTCTATATAACGCATGTCTGTATTTTTTTTTATGAAATTTAAAAAACATTCATGTTTTTTTAGAGAGAAATCATTCGTTAAATTAACATGCAAATTTCGTCCTAAAAAAATTGGTCTCTATAGTGAAAATGTTATTTTAACAATAAAACGACGAAATAATTTTAAAATAACAATTACATTAACTGGTCGATGTATTATGGGCAATATGAATACCATCCTACAAGATTCAATGGAAAATGAAGTAAGACAAGAAAAAAGCAGAATTATTTTTCAAATTTTTGACTCCATGCTTTTATTTCATTTAGGAATAGTAATTTTTTTTTCTACTGCTATTATCATATTAATAATTCATTCAATTTTTTTTTCTCTGTCTTCTTGGAAAGAAAAACAATAACATGTTTTTATAGAAAAAAATTAATAAAAAGAAAAATATTATTTATTCTCAAAAGAAAAGATAACATTATAGTTCATGTTCATGACATTCGCTAATAAGATTACACATGAAGATGTCTTATAAACTTCTTTTTTCTTTCTCTTGCTTCAAAATAAATATTAAAAAAAAAAAAAACAAAGGTTATTTTTATTGTTGACTATATGAGAGCATCTGCAAAACAAACTTTTTGTTACGATTTCTATCAAATGTCGACTATGTCTACATAATATATACGTACGAACATGTGCACATTTGTACTATAGACAACATACAATTTGATCGATCGTATGCCATTGGACTGACTTTAAGACTAGATTACAGTGCAAATATACAACAAAAAAACGACAACGAGGGTTTATGTCATCGTTGTATATTATATACTACATACGACATCATCGATTGTGAGAAAAAAGAAAAGAAAATAATCATTTTTTGCAGTACTATGTTATTCAGAATAATATAAGATAGATGATCATCATCAATAAGATATAAATCTATTGCTGTTGTTGTTGTCGTTATTTCGTCTGAACTCAGTGCAAAAAGCCTACAAGCAAGTACAATCGTCTGGATTGTAAAATAATAAAAATATATTTGAGTGTTGGTTCATTTGTATCAAGATTTATTGTGTACCTTATAAATTGTTTTTTTTGAATACTAAAATTCCTTGGCATTTACAGATCAATGCCGAAAAAAAATGCATTGCGGATGAAATACCAACTAGACGTCAATACTTCTAATCGACGTGTTGAGAATCATTATATGGAAGAAAAAAAAACAAACTATACACATAAATACCTCGATATACGTAGCAAAAGTTTCTACTTATTTAATAGTCAAAATGAATGCATACTGATACTTCCCTTGATTACCAACGTCAAAGTACAGTAATATATTTTCTTATCTATATTGGGTCTCCCACTTTTTTTTGTAACACATAAAGGAAAAAAAAATTCTCCCACTTGAAGCATGCGATGTCGAGTGACATGTTCTATCTGATGAATAGCAAATGACCGACAGTTGACCCATATATAGAATGTGTCTTTTTTGCTTCTAAGAAAATCTTTCATTCTGTCTAGTTCTTTTCTATATTAATCCAAACGATCGAGGACACCAACGATGATGCAGCTAAGTAATAAACGATGATGTGGCACTAATGAATATGCTACTGTAGTACGAATGAGATAAATGTCTATTCCGTTTTCTTCCCTCCTTCGTAACATATCTTCTACTGCATTCCATTCATTTGATAGCACTGTAGAAAACATTTATTGCAGCTAAGCAGTATGTGTTTTTTAAGCAATTGCTCTTTACACTCCGCTTGAAGTACGCGTGCATACCTCTCAAGTATTCGTTCGTTTGCTTGCTTGCACGTTTATTATTGTATGGCTGTGCGCATTTATCTCGACCACGATACGATTTCAAAAGCAACAGCCGATGATGATGACGAAGTAGGAAAGAAGAGCAACGTGCTTTTTTGCAAGCCCGATTTGCGCCCATCGTTCGATGCGTCATTTTTGATTAACTTATTTCTCCTTCACTTCTTTTTTTTTACTAAACACGACATATTCATCATTTTATGCCTCATCATTATGCGCAGGTATGCTACTAAACATCGTCTATATGTAATGTATCTTACAACATAAGTGAGCAATAAAAAAAAAATCTTTGTTTCAATAAAAAAAAATTGAGATTAGATCTTTTTATGAAATGTGATCATTTCATACATATATTCCACATGGTTTCATGATAGTTTTATGAATATATGCATGTAGAGGAGGTAGATAAGAGTACTGACAAGTTGAAGAGGAGGGCAGGAAGAACTAACTATAGAAACACACGTGTACTGGTCACGTCCTTACTAATTCTAATGATAAGCAATTTTATTTTTGTCTTAAAGGATAATCGATGAGACAATCAAACATATGCGAAGAAAAAAACCTACATCATGTTCTATATTCTTTTTCGTTGTTGTATAACGAATAAGAAAGACACAATTATTGAGTATATCTAATAATACTTTAAAACTCTTCAACAATGTTAAGAAAAACTTTATCTAAGAATTTTATTGAATGTTATAAATTTCTTTTTTCATTATTGTCCAAAAGAAACAGTTGACCCATAAGATAATAGTTGATTTTCTAGCCTGTTGACATAAACAATTTGATATTTGAGAAGATAGACAGGGGGAAGAAAAAAAAAGAATTTCTGTTCTATTATAGATACAAATGTATAAACAGCATGTATAGTTCCGTGAAGGTCATTATGGTCACAATATAGAAAGAAAAGAAGGCATTCATTATGTAACACAATGTGTCCTATATATTTTCTTCGATTTTTTTTACCGGTACAGACAATGTCATCGAGTCACTAATATATTGCCAATGGCTATTGATTTATGCGTAGCGTATGTTAAATTGAATTTTAGTTGCTATCGATTGATGAGAGAAGGCAAAAATGTAGGCATGTAAAAGGAGAATATATAAGAACCATCCATTCAATTCTAGAGAACTCGTATTGACTTAGTGAAGAAAAAAGAAGAAGAGCGTAGGCTTATATGGTAGCAACTTGCTGTCAAAGAAAATAATAAAAAATGAGAGATTATACGCGCGTGTGGGTGTGTATGCAAGAACATTGACGTCAGCTGTTATTTTCGATTCATTCTAATTCCAATTATGATGCTAAATCGGTGGAAAACAAGACTATAGAATAATATATGACGGAGAACGTACAAATAATGCGTTTTTTTTGACACTAATTATAGATAAAAATATGTCTCAAGAGATATTAGAAAAGCAACGTTATATAGTGAACACATGAACGCACTATAGCGGCCTCTCTCTAAAACATTCGATCCAATTGGGTAGTTCTATGTAATTTCTTCAGTCTATTCAAACTATTGTGTTTGTTGATGTTGATTAGTAAAATGCATTCTATCGTTGTTTACCATTTTTTTGTACTCTATTCATTCAAATAAAGAGAAAATGTCATACAACAAGTAAAAAAAAAATGTGCTTTTCACTTTTCACTTGCATTAAATGCATGTATGTTGTCTAGTAAACTGTTAGAGTAGAGGCTAGGATCAAGTACATGAATCTAAGGTAGATCTTTTCTTTTTCTTGGCACGTTAATACCTTTTTTTTCTTTTTCTTCTTGAGACCATTTCTTACAATGGGCTTATAATTATTCGAATCGAGTAAAAGTATTGTAAAAAAAGTAAATCAATTTGAGAAAAAAAAAACTCAAGTAAGTAAAAGAAATTTTTGTTATTTATTTGGAATGGCGAACTTCATTTTTTTTCCTTTTAAAAAATGTAAAGTAAATTATTTACATAAGTCTAGCCAATCTTACTTGAAAAACAAAAAGACAAAAGCGAGAGAGAAAAGAAGCAAGTCTGTTCTTTTTTCCTGTCAGAAAGAGAAAAAAAAATCTGTGCCTTATTTTTTTTCCCGTCGTCGTTTTTCCTTCAATCGTTAACGGCTTACTACAGGCACGTTTCATATTTAGTCTGTCTGTGTTATTTTTCTTTTGTACTTATTCTTATTCCTTTTTTTTTCTTCTAGATTCCATTTCGAATATATCATCAACATACAAGCAACAATATATTTTTCTCTTGTTCAACATATTTAAAAAGTGTTTTGTGTCAATAATTTCTTTTTTTCTTAAAGAAAATATCGACACACTCACTGATTTGATTCAATCTATGTAATGGAATATATATTATCGACAATTTCTATCGATATTATTCAAATATTCATTCATTCTATTGTCAATATTTTAATAAGAAATCCATTTTATAATAATAATAATAATAATAATAGTTATTATTATTATTATTTAAATTTTTTGAACAAAAAAACTTTATCTATTAGTCAAATATTTTGACAAGCTTTATTCGAATAGATAATTATTCACAAAAAAACAGAACGAATACGAAAGAACATTATTCATCTTTCGAGATACGACATATATTATTTATTTATTTACTGTGTAATGAAGAAGATTTTTCTTTGGTTTATCAAAGAACATATTTAGTCAGATTTTCATTTTCTTTTATTTTTATCTGCGTGTTATTTTTCAAATGTCGACCACAACGTCATCACAACGTAATATTAAATCAAGATTACCAACTAGTAATAGTACAAATAATATGGCAACAAATGGAAATGAAATAAAATCTACTCGTAATGGCTTGAAAAAACCGTCAAGTGCAACGAATATTTCACAAAATTACACATCATCCAGTACACTTAATAATCGTTCGAAAAAATCTACAGCATTATCAAATAATTTTCATCAAAATAAACCCACAAAACCAGTTCCAATTGATAAAACAAATAATAATAATAATAATAATAATTATCATCAACAAAATGGATATTATTCTAATAAAAAGTCTATTCATGGTATGTCTCATTCTCCGTCACCACCATTTGTTTTTCATGCTATTGCACCAGCTCCGGTATCAAAAGAAATTAATGAACAAAAGGTATGTTTCTTAAACATATTCTATAGAATTTAATATTTTATATTAGTAAAAACATGAAAATAATGAATCTAACTCTTTTGAAACTTTTAAGAAACATGCAAAATTTCTTACATTGTATATGTGCCGGTATCTAATCAATATCTTTATTTTTTCATTCTTAACACAAAGTTCCAAATAGTTTACTTACATCTTATTAATAAATGTTTCATCCCGGAAATTATTATCTATTCCTGTAAAACATAAATACAGAGTGACATTAGAACCTTTGATTAATAGCAAAAAAAAAGAAATTATTTTATTTTAGTGTGATCATGGATCTATGTCGGACACAAGTCGTCGTCGTATAGCAAATATCCTTGCTCATACTAGAATAAAAACTATGTCGATTGCTGCATCAACTTCATCAGATGAAGAAGGTGAATCAAGTTTACATCGTTCACATAATCAATCATCATCTATTGATACAGATGCACATGAATCAGATCATGAAATTAATAATAATAATAATAAACAAACAACAAAAAGTCGTCGTTTACAAAAAACTCGAAAAACAAGTTTATCAACAACAACAAATAATAATAATATTACTATTAATGGACAATTATCAAGAACAAATGTACGTAAAGATAGTCAACAGCAACGATCAAGTTCAAATGATGATGATAATAGTAATAACAATAGTACTAATACTAATAATAATAATGAAAAAAATAATATTAATGATGATAATATTGTTAATAATAGACGAAGTAAAACATATTTACTAAAAAGACGTGATCATTTAGCTACAACAACCACAGATGATGACACAACAAAGCATCGTCATCGTTATCATCCATTAGATATTCTTGAATCAAATGGAAAAAAATTTCCATGTGAACCAACGTGTTCATCATCATCAATACCAATAGTACCAACACCAACAAATCAAGCAACAACACGAAAGCCAAATCGCTTTCAAATTAAATCTATACGTAAATCTCAACAACAACAAATCTTATTAGCAAACGCAGCTGCTGCTAAATCATCAAATGAAGATGATGGTTCTGTACCTAATGATGGAATAAAAACACCATTTAAACCATCATTAAACGAACGAAAAAGTACAATTACACCAACAACTGATGGAGAAAATTCAACAACAAATACAGATAATGCTGTAAATGGTTCTAGATCAGCTGCTAAATTAATTGAAAATGGCGGTGGATATCATCGTGTTCGTTTTCTTCTAACACACCATAAAAAAATTGAATCTGCTGCTGAAGATGAAAGATCATCGGCTCCAACAAGTGCATTACCAACAACAGCTCCTCCATCATCTACAGCTTCAGCACAAGGAGAGGTCAGTTAATATAAGTCTCAAGAAAATTTTCAAATTGATTATTACTTTTACAAAAAAAAAATATTGCTTGTACAAATGTCATTCGTTTGTGCAAATAAAACATAGATTACTATTAAAGGTCAAGATTTGTAGATTAGGTACATACTAACGAAGATGTTTAATGATGATAAATGATCATCTGCTGTGTTCTAGAAAATGACATTTGGCATTTATCACTATTTCGTAGAATTTTTGACCTAAAAACAACGATCAATGTATATTTGTCTTTCATATAACATTCTTTCTAATGTATCAGAAATTTTTGGAATTTAAGTTGCCTAATTTTTTTTCTTGATTTAAAGGCAAATTGTATTATTGGTTCTACAAAAAAGTAGATTGACCAAAAAGCAAAGATACAATACATTTTGCTTTTATTTGATGAACTACAGCTTCAATAAGAAAGAGAACATTTATTTCATTTTGTAAACAGAATTCTATTCATCCATTTAATATGATTAGAAATCCTCTTGATAACATAAAATTTTGTTTTTATATTAAAAATCATATTATTTTAGGATGAAGAAGAAGAAGAGGCAGTTGCGAAAAGTCCTGATAATCGTTTTATTAAATATGCTCAAGAAATAGGACGTGGTGCTTTTAAAACTGTTTATCGTGGTTTAGATACAGAAACAAGTGTTGCTGTAGCTTGGTGTGAATTACAAGTAAATCAATAAATAATCAAAAAAACAAAGAAATAGGTTTTTTTACGATGATTTCAATATTTTTTTTGTATAGGATTTTGCACAATTCGATAAACATGAACGAGCTCGTTTTAAAGAGGAAGCTGAAATGTTAAAAAAACTTCAACATCAAAATATTGTACGTTTTTATGATTTTTGGGAAGAAACAAATCCACGAACAAATAAAAAAGTTATTATTCTTGTTACTGAATTAATGACATCAGGCTCATTAAAAGGGTAAATAATAATAATAATAATAATTTCAATTATTTATTATATAATATTTTCTTTGTTTTCTTCTTATTATAGGTATATTCGTAATTTTAAAGGACAAAAAGAAGAAAAACGTATTAATGTTATGAAAAAATGGTGTCGTCAAATACTTAAAGGTCTTGCCTATTTACATAGTCGTAATCCACCTGTTATACATCGTGATTTAAAATGTGACAATGTATTTATATCAAGTACAACAGGTTGTGTTAAAATAGGTGATCTTGGTTTAGCAACATTTAAAACACAAACATTTGCTAAGAGTATGCGTGGTACAATGGAATTTATGGCACCAGAAATGTTCGATGAAAAATATGATGAACTTGTTGATATATATTCATTCGGTTTATGTATGTTAGAAATGATGACAGGTGAATATCCATATATTGAATGTAAAGGACCAACAGCTGTTATAAAACGTGTTACAGCTGGTTTAAAACCTGATTGCTATTATAAAGTTGAAAGTGAAGATGTACGAGAAGTTATTGATTGTTGTATACGTACAAAAAAAGAAGAACGTTTACCTGTACATGAATTATTACAACATTCTTTTTTTCTTGATGATAATAGTTTACGTATTGATCTTGTACGAGATTCATCAAATGATTCATTAGTTATGACTACACAAGATAAAATTGATTTAAAATTAAAAATTGTCGATAAAGCTAAACGTAAAGCTTTATTTGCCGAAAATAAAGTATCATCAACAGCTTTTGAAGCTATACGTTTTTCATATGATTTAAATTCTGATACACCTGAAAAAATAGCTGATGAACTTATTGCAAAAGATTATATATTCGAAGATGATAAAAAATTTGTCATACAATCAATTAAAGATCGTATACGAGCATTAAATTATGAAATACTTGATCGACAAGCCGGTGTTTTTACTGGTCATGGAAAACCAATTATTAACCAAACATCACAAGCATCAATCACTATACAATCGCAACAACAGCAGCAACAACAACAGCAGCAACAGCAGCAGCAACAACAACAACAGCAGCAACAACAACAGCAACAACAACAACAGCAACAAACAACACAGTTAATACCTATACCTCCAACGACAACGTTTACTGCTGTTGCTACAGCAACACCTACAATTATTCAACAAACAACAGCTGAACAACAACAAGTAGTTAAACCAGCAGCAGAAGCTCCATCAGTTAAACCAACTGTAGCAACAGACCCAATACCAATTGCTCAAGCACCTGAACTTAGCCCAAATATACCTGGTTCGGCAGGTAGTCTTGAAGTACTGGAAGCAGCATTGAAAAAAACGTTCAATAAAATGAATCCCTCTCAAGGTACTAATACAACATCGGCTGTTGTTAATGATACAAGTGAACCATTAACATCGTTGACCAATCAAGATGATTCTTTGATACCAAAATCAGCAAGTAATACTACTGTTATTGTTGAACAACAACAACAGCACACAGAAGAACTTGGACTACCCAGTGCTAGTGAGCCCTCGACAAGTAAATAACTTAAATATTAAAAATTTTGATTATTGTATAATTATTTTTTCTTAGGTGTTTTACAATCTTCTATTCTACCTACGTCACAAACTCAATCTCAACCCACCACAGCATTAATAAATCAACAACCACCAATCTTACAAAATTCTCATATTTTAACTCATTCTTCTCCAAATTTTTCTTATTCGGCAATGCCTCCTTCTCAGCCCATTAATACTGCCATTCCAAATGATACTAATAAACAAATCATATCTCCCACTCCTCCTCCTCCTCCTTCTCTTCCTGTTCTGCCCCCTTCTTCTTCTTCTACTTCAACGACGACGGAGACTATTGAAAATAGTCACACGTCTATATCACCTTCTCCGACACCTTTATCTGTTCCATATACAGGTGAAGCAGTACAATCATCGATTGCGTCAGATACTCAACCACAAGTAAGATCACAAAAATTCGAATAAAATTAATTGATTTTGTTGTTTTCTCTTTTTAATCATTTAGATATCGGGTAGTTTACAACAGCTTGAAGTTCTTCTTATGAATACATTTAAAAAACCAACTAAACCAACTGGTACTGCTCATAGTAGTGACGGTGAAACGACAAATTCTAATATTCCAGCAACATCATCTATATCAGCAACAAATAATGATGATAAAAATGAAATTGAATCAATAACAAATGAATTATCTATAACAATCGATGATAAAAATCGTAAATCTATTGATATATTTAAAAACGCAAATTTAATTCCTCAACAAACAGTTACAATTCCACAAGTATTAAATGAATCAACACATTTTGATCCTTTAATATCGACAGATAATGGTAATTTACAAGATTTAGAAACACTTCTTCAGAGTACATTTCAAAAATCTCCTATTATCAATAATGATAATATAGGTACATTATCAACACAAATCTCGACAACAAGTGATGATATATCTGATTTAAAATCTGCGATTATGAGTTTCAGTACAACATTATTAAATAAAATGAATATAATTGAAACAAAAATTGATGATCATTGTTCTCAAACAAAAAAAACTAATCATATATTAACAAATACAATATTACCATCATTACTTGATTTAACTGATATTATTGAAGAAATATCATCATCTAATCTCGATATACGTGCAAGAACTAAACTTGAAAATATTCAAACACGTATACGTACCACACAACAACAACAACAAACTGAAATGAAAAATTTAATGGATATTTAATTTTTCATTTTGTTGTTTTTCTTCTTTTATTTCAAATAAGTGTGTTTGCATTTTTTTCTTTCTATCTTTCTTTTTTTTGCCTCCAAATTCACATGTACAGTTTCTTTCTTTTTCTTTCTTATTATTCTTTATCTTTATTCTACAATCATTGTCATTAATTAGACATATATGTGCGTATGAGGATCAATGATAAAATTAAAAAAAAAAAAAGAAAAGAAATATAGAAAAAAAGAAAGAGCACAATTTCATATGTAAAAATGATTATTTCTTTTCAAATAAATATCTCATTATGTCGATGATTATTAAAGGAAATTATTTTTGTTTTGTTACTAACAAATGTATGAATCAGTTTTTACTGATGAAAAATATATTCTCGGTGGGTTCACAGTTTTCAAATAAAATGTTTCTTCATTTTCAATCGATTAATATGGTCATCAGAAACGGTAAAGTGTTGATTGTAAGTCAGAAAAAGGCATGAAAATAAAGTTTTGACTGAAATACTTGCACTAATAGATCTACAGGCAGACAATGAGACTGTATCCCATCTGAAATTATTCTCATGGTGTTTTTCAGCAATTTTTCGTATTTCTAGCGTAGAAATGTTCTTTTTGTGTGGATCTCATTTCCTTTCGATTGACTACATTAGTACTTAGAAAACAGACATTTTTCTCAGCAGCTGATGCCTGCTGTTGCATGTGTTCTATAAATAATTTTTTGCACAGCATAACGAGAGAGACTAGGCTCTCTACAACGTACGTAAAGAATCAAAGTTCTCGGAATAAACCTCCAGAAAGGATTCCGTATATATTATGTGTGTGAAAAATCAAGAGTTTGTATAACATGTCACTTTTCCTTCTGTCAAAACTCTCATTGTTGATAAGTGTCTTGCGGTAAATGAATAATTAGGATATCATTTCATAGAGAAATGTTTACTCTGTTTTTAATGTGTTTGGACTTAGATCTATTTTTGTCCCATGAGTTTTTTTGCCCTTTGAAACGAGTCCAACTTTTTCTTTCAAGCCTTCCATTGATTCGCTTCTAACTCCAAAAATATGAAATCTTACAAAAACTTCAAACCTACAAGTTGTCGAAAGAGTACAACATTTTGATTTTACCCTGACATTTGAAAATTTCTGCTATCGCTCTGAATATTTGATCACAAAACTTTCGACATATCTGTAATGAGAATGAAAGTCTTCAAAGAATATATTTCATTAAAACTCTTCTTGACATATGACTTGTTTAAATCAATTTCACAATTATAATATATGGACTTTTTTTTGTGAACGATTATCGGATCTATCTGTCAACAAAAAATGAATAATGAAATTATTTGTTTCAGTAACAAATAATTATAACATCTCGATCTTTTCTTCATCTAAACAAATGTTTCAGATTTTTAAACGTGGTTGTATTAATTTTTAATTAAAAAAGACGGATAATCATTATGCTCTAAAACTTTTAAAAGACAATTAAAATTCAAGTTTTATTCCTTATGAACAAATGAAATTAATATATTGATTATTACTTGAGCAAACAACTATTGTATAGAAATGTTGAGAAAAATTTTTGTCTATATGCTGTAATAGTAAAACTGGTGCTTCGAATAACTTCAACTTTGCATCATGCTTCAACTAATATCATTATAATAAAATTTATAATATGAGCCGTTTTTTATAATATGTGAAGATAATGCTGAAAGTTATTTTATCGAAAAAACACAGGTGGATACATATTGAATAATTTTTGACAAAACCAAGGTAGAGAAGCACGATTTTCTCTTTTAGAAAGAAATGGCGATGTATTGAATCGCATTTTATATGAATTTTCAATTATCAGATGGAAACCTGAACGTCTACACAAAATTAAAAGATTTGTCCTAGGGGTGCCGGCTTAGCATTAGCATTGCATTAATTAATGCTAATTTTAATACTTTTGTATTAGAATTAAAAAATTAATTTAATGCTCTGGTATTAGGGTTAAAAAAATAATTTAATACTTTGGCATTAGCATTAAATTAAAATTAGTATTAAATTAGTATTACTTAATGCTGATACCTAAGAAAAAAGTATTAACTAATGCTAATTTAATACTAATTTTAATTCAATGCTAATGCCAAAGTATTAAATTATTTTTTCAACACTAATACCAGAGCATTAAGTTAATTTTTTAATTTTAATACAAAGTATTAGCATTTTCCTAATACTAATGCTAAGCCGGCACCCCTAATTTGTCCATTAGGAACATATCAGCTAGAAGACTGTCAAAGGACAAGTGAAATTTGATGTAGTACATCATAATATGTTAAAACATGTATATGTTAATTCTATACCCTCACAGCAATGGTATAAACCGTCTCGTCGGAACCATAAACAGACTTGTTTAAAGGAAGGAAGAGTGTTTGGTATGATTTTAATAATTTGATTTTGTCTTCAATGTTGTATTTCAAGAAAAAGAATAAACAAAATATTAATCGAAGTTAAGAACTCTTCTTAGAAAACTCGATTTTCGCCAAAAAAAAAATCGATTTTTGAAATAAACATATGACTTGAGTTGTCTAATTTACAAATTTATAAAAATAGTGTTGATTTTCGAACTTTTTTCAGAGATTTTATCGATAATCTTTGAAATGATCTCAAACAAACGATGATATCTAGAGTAATTCGTCAATTTTTCTTGTAGTGTTAGATTTGCAAAATAAACAAATATTTTTCAGAGATGATCAAATCTTGTGCATTTTAAAAACACACTTTTGAGATCTAAAATGACATGAGGATGTCAATGTAGATCCTCTTTTCATGTATACTACAAACCCTCAAAATAGATATTTTATATAAAATAAAATAGCATATTTCTCATGATTTACTAGTAAAACTTAACTATCAATATTAGTTTTAAGAAATCGTAAGACAACAAGCGAATTGAAAAAATTAATTTTTTACTTTTGGGTCTTCCTTTTGTTGTTGAATCGTATAACAAATATGAAGGTAATGGCAGGTAGCATCATCTATTGTAATGCCTCTCCTACGAGGATAGTCTAATGCACATAGATAGGTGCTTCGATTGACATGTAATATAATTACACTTCACCTCCATTTTAACTCAATAATAGGAAGACTATCTAAATAAACAATAAATTCTTTTGCGTCGTTCTATAATGATCAAAATGCAGACTAACTTTCCTCGATATACTTCATTCCAAGCAGCTGTGTTGTTTTTAATCGATAGATATATGCTTAGTGCTTTAGATGAGCGAAAATAATTTTATAAGTAATCTTCAATGCAAGATAACTCCTGAATTTTATAGATTTTTCATATTCTGATGGTTCGATAAATGACTCATATTAAAAAACTAAAATAACACATCTCTTCATTCAAAGTGGTAAGAAGTTTTCTTTCAAATGAAAGTAATTCAAACTCTATCACTTAGTCACTAAAAAATCACCTCAATGGTAAAGTATGTACTTGTTGAAATTAGATTTTTGAGAGAGACTCTTAGTAGCAGTGTTATTTTGAAGACATAAAACGCATTATTGACATAACTAAAATAACATATTATAATCATCATTGAATAATTATTATATGTTTAATGGAATTTTGACTATTCTTTGGTTTTTGATGATATGAGAATGATTTTATCACAAGAATTTTTACACAAAAAGAAAAAAATAATAAATAGATATGTATCAGAAATTTAATCTTTGAGAATACTAATTATTTTCGAGCACCGGCTTTAGCCAAACGATCAGCTTCATCATTTCCTTTGTTTGATGAATGACCAGGTACATATGTCTGAATATGAACAAGAAATAATAATTGATTTCTATTTTATATAAAAATTTTTATTCGAAATACCCATTTAATTTTAAGTCTTTGTTGAAGTTCATCAATTTTCACCATTAAATCTTTATTCATAACCGGTTTTGAATCAGTTTTTTTAATCCAATTTGATTTTTTCCATCCTTGAATCCATTCAGTAGCAGCTAAATTATTCAGATAAATTTAATTATTTGAATATAAATATGTTCTTTTTTTCTTTTTACATACATTGTATGGTATATTTACTATCCGTACGAATTTCTAAATGGGTTATACTATTTGATAAAGCTACTTCCATGGCACTAATTGCTGCCTAAAATAAAAATAAAAATGTAGAAAAGATTTTTTTTTTTTACACTTTATCCTCATACTGTCAATTCAGCTCGTTGATTGGTTTGATCTCCTTGTAAGCGTTCACTAATATTCCTATAAAAATATTTTTGTATAAAAAATTGGTTAATACAATAAATTTGAAAATGAATACGAGATTGATTTTTTTTTGTCTCGAATATATTGATATTTATGAAAATCAATTACAATTTTCTATGCACTCACCATGGATGATCATCATCCCAATAAACTCCATAACCACCTTTTGATCCTGAACGACCATTACCAAAACAACAACCATCCGAATAGACAATTGTATATTCTCCTTTAGCTAATAATAATAGTGAATAAATAAATCAAGTCATCTTTCTTGTTTTTTTTTTCTATTACCCTGATCATTATTAGTATCTGACATTGTTAATTTTTCATAAGATGAAACCATTGATATTGACGAACATTCTTGAATAGTGTCTTTTATTAAATTAATTGGAGTATTATTTGATATTTTAGATTTTGATGTAGGATATTTTGTTTTAAAATTTCTTTGTATTTTTACTTTACCATCTAAATAATCTTGAGCATCGGAATGTTTATCAAATTTTCTATATTCCGCTAAAAAATAAATCATTTCGAATAATTCTTTTTTCTACGTTCATATATCTAACCTCCAGTAAATCGATTAACTTGTTCCTTACATTCATCCCTAAATAAAAAAAAAAAATTAATCATCATTAACGAAATAGAACAGTTTTGTGAAACACGATGTAGTTAGAGTTTTGAAGTATCGAAGTAGAAATTTAGTTTCTCATGTGTTAACTCAGTGAAAAATAATGTACAGACTATTTTTATGT